AGCGGCTTGGACCTGCTTCCGGTTGGACGAGCGCGCGCTGCTGCGCGTGCGCGGCCCCGACGCAGCGCCCTTTCTGCTAGGGTTGCTGACCAATGAACTGCCGCTTCCGGGTCCCGCCGCCGGGGATGCCCCGCCCCCTCCGTGTGCGGGCTACGCCCACTTCCTGAACGTGCAGGGCCGGACGCTCTACGACGTCATTCTGTACGGGTGAGCGCGGGCACGGAGAGCGCCCAGGGACCGGCACCCAGCGGCAGGGCGGGCTCCCGGGGCCTGCAGAGGGCGTGGGAGGTGGGGTGGAAGCTCAGGGGCGGGTGGGCCAGAGACTGGCACCCCGCGGCAACCACCGAGAAGATTCCACCTGGGATGGACACCCAGGGGAAGCTCACCCAGGGCCCAGCACCCAGAGGCTCGGCTTGACACCCAGGGGAAGCTCACCCAGGGCCCAGCACCCAGAGGCTCGGCTTGACACCCAGGGGAAGCTCACCCAGGGCCCAGCACCCAGAGGCTCGGCTTGACACCCAGGGGAAGCTCACCCAGGGCCCAGCACCCAGAGGCTCGGCTTGACACCCAGGGATGGGTCAGTGACGCACCCAGAGGAGGCCTGGGTGCCCACCATATCAGAACAGGGGCCCTCCCAAGTGGGCCACCTCCCAAGTGGGCCACCTCCCAAGTGGGCCACCTGGTGAACCTTCTCCCCCCGTAGGGACAGGGGCTCAGGGGCCCCGCCTGGTGTTTCTGAGTGACAGCTTGTGCTGACACTCCGAGCTCTGTGTTCCTCGTGTTTCTCTGTGTCCCCTCCCAGATCTCCCCATTGCTGGCACATTCGCATTTGGCTCGGTCATCTGTGCTGACAACATCATTAATGTCGGTGATGGTCATGCTGGGTTAGGGCCTTGACTGTTTAGCCTTGGGTTCCCTTGCCCAGCTTCCGGAGACCTGGATCCCTGACACCTCCGCTGGGTGCTGTGGGGTGCTGTGGGCCTGTGTCTGACCGCCTGCCTGCTGCTCTCCCGTGGCGAACCCTGATCCTGTTCTCTTCAGCTTACTCCTGTGTTCTGGTTTCAGAGGATGGGCACCTTTTTAATGACTTCCAGAGCTATGTGGGGTGAATTTTTGGACTCACTGTGTCTCTGCTAGTGGCTTTACCTGATATCCTGGCTGGCTGTAAAAATCTTAGCTTGGAAATTGTCACTGAGTTGTTTTCTTGCTGCCAGCTTTTCTGAGAGGTCTAGTGCCGTTCTTATTTCCAGTCCTTTGTACATGAACTGTGTTTTTCTCTGGAAGCTTTTCTTTAACCCTGATGTCATGAAATGTGTCTTAGTTTGGGCTTTTTCCATATCACATTGCTGGGCACTTAACTGGGCTCTTTAAATCTAGAACCAGAGTCTGTGAAATAGTGTCCTCAGGTCAGACCCAGCCCATTGCCTGTAATTATAATAAAATTCTCTGTGACCCTGACCCGTTGGATTCTGTGTGGTCTGGGGCTGTTTTTTTGTTTTTGTTTTGAGATGTGGTTTCGCTCTTGTTGCCCAGGCTGGAGTGCAGTGGTGCGGTCTTGGGGCTCTGCCACCTCCGCCTCCAGGGTTCAAGAGATCGTCCTGCCTCAGCCTCCTGAGTAGCTGGGACTACAGGTACCTGCCACCACACCCAGCTAATTTTTATATTTTTAGTAGAGACAGGGTTTTACCATATTGGCCAGGCTGGTTTCAAACTCCTCACCTCTGGTGATCCATGCAGCTTGGCCTCCCAAAGTGTTGGGATTACAGGCGTGAGCCACCACGCGCAGCCTGGGGCTGCTTTTGTCTAGAATGGCAGAGTTGTGGCTCGAGTATGGGCCTCGAGCCTAAGTTATTCACTGGCCCTTTATAGAAAGTGTGCCCACTTCAGCTCAGTAGGTTTAAATCTCCATGCCCACAGTTCAGAGATGAAGTCATCGCTGTTTGTCTTACATATTCATCACCTTCCATCTGGCTGCTTTAATTTCTTCATCTTAAGAACGACAGTCTCTGGTTCTCTTTGGCCTCCTTGTCGTTACTTCGTTGTTCGCATGCTCGCCTTGTGGTGATGACGTTTTGGTCCTCAAATTCCCTCCCGTATTTCTGCATTCCTCTTTTGTCCTTTTCCCTTCAAGTCCGAGTTCCATTGAATTCCTGTTGTTAATAAGTGTTCCGCCCGGCGTGGTGGCTCACGCCTGTAATCCCAGCACTCTGGGAGACCGAGGCGGGCAGATCACCTGAGGTCGGGAGTTCAAGACCAGCCTGACCAACATGGAGAAACCCTGTCTCTACTAAAAGTACAAAAATTAGCCAGGTGTGGTGGCGCATGCCTGTAATCCTAGCTACTCAGGAGGCTGAGGCAGGACAATCTCTTGAACCCGGGAGGCGGAGGTGCGGTGAGCCGAGATCCCACTCCAGCCTGGGCAATGAGTGCAAAACTGTCTCAAAAAAGTAAATAAGTGTTCTACGGTGTAAAGTACAGGGGACCCTTGAACAGCATGAGTTCCAAAGGCACGGGTCACTCATACCTGGATTTTCCTTCACCTGTGCCGCCCTGAGACAGCAAGACCAACCTCGCCCTCCTCCTCCTCAGCTACTCGATGTGAAGACCATGAGGGCGAAGACCTTCACAGTGATCCGTTTCCACTCAGCGAGGAGGAACTGCATTTGCTCTTCCTTAGGATTTTCTTCCTGGGATTTGTAGCTGACTGTATTGCAAGAATACAGTCTATGATAGCATGAAACATACAAAATATGTGCCCCTTGACTGCGTGTGTTATACGTAAGGTGTCCAGTCAGCAGAAAGCTGTTAGTAGTTAAGCTTCTGGTTGTGGGGGGGGGGGGTCAAAGCTTAAAGGTGGGTTTCTGACTGTGTGGGGGCCGGTGCCCCTAGCCCTTGCATCGTTCACGGGTCAGCTGTCTGTCCTTCCTGTGTCTCAGGGTTTTCTCTTCATCCTTTCCAGCCTGGTCTGGAGCTTGTCTGCAGATCTGCTGTGCCCCAGCTCTCCTTACCAAGCTTGTGCTTGTTGGCTCTTCTGTGGCTCTTTGCTCTCCTTGTGGGGTCTCTGTCCTCGAGGTCTGCAGGAGGAGTTAGGTTTCCTTGCTTGTGCTGGGTGTCTGCTGTGTCCCTCACTGTTTTGAGTGCCGAGGGCACTGGGGCGGCTCTGTTCTCCCCCAGCTCAGTGCTGAAGAGCGACGTCCTGCAACTCTGGTCTCCCTCAGCCAGGGAGCTCCACTCCGAGGGGTCAGGTGGGGCGAGACCATCCTCTGTGGGATTCGGCATCCATGTAACAATATTTGAAACCCTCCAGCTTCAATTCTGTTAGAGTTCATGGCTCCACTTCTCCTCAGCTGTCAGAAGAGGGACACAACACAGTCACCTCCTCAACTGGCTCCCCAGGGGTGCTGGCCGACAGGATCCAGATGCCACCCCTCCCAGCTCTGCTCTGTGGCGTGGATGGGCTTAGGGCAGCGCTTGGTGGGCATGTTTAGTTCAGTTCACGAGGTTACACTCTTCTCCTCACCGGGGTGCTGCTGGCTGTTGGTCTCCCTCTATGTGGTTTGCTCTCTCTGGTCTCTCCTCTGGGGATAGGGCAGCCTGTGGCTCAGGGGCCTCTGTGTGTTGCTGGAAGCCTCTGTGTGTTTCTGCTTCTCTGGTCATTCCCTGCCCAGCATTCCTCCATGGGTATTTTTGGACTGTAGGATTTTTATTTCAATTCTGATACTAACTAATGTATCATCCCGAGCTGTTCCTTCCTCAAAGCACCCTGTTCTTGTTTCCTGGATGTAACGCCTTCTTTCAGATGAAGCTATAGTTTTTTTGGTTGTTGTCTTTTATTTATTAATTTTTAATTTTTTTTTTTTTTTTTTTGAGATGGAGTCTTGCTCTGTCACCAGGCTGGAGTGCAGTGGCATGATCTTGGCTCACTGCAACCTCCGCCTTCTGTGTTCATGTGATTCTCCTGCCTCAGCCTCCTGAGTAGCTAGGACTACAGGCATGTGCCACGAAGCCCAGCTAATTTTTGTATTTTTAGTGGAGATAGGGTTTCACCATGTTGGCCAGGATGGTCTTGATCTCCTGACCTCGTGACCTGCCCACCTTGGCCTCCCAAAGTGCTGGGATGACAGGCGTGAGCCACCGCGCCCGGCCTAGGGTTGTTGTCTTTTAATAGGACTTGCTTTTTACAGCAGTTTTAGGTTCTCAGCAAAAGAACAGAATGTACAGAGATTTTCCGTGTTACCCCACAGGTTCCCCTACCATCAGATCCCCCACCAGAGTGCCGTTTCGCCACAGTCGATGAACCTTTGTTGTTGACGTGCTCCCATCACCTGGAGTGCCCGGTTTCCATGAGGGCTCACTCCTGGCGTGGTGCGTTCATGAGTTGGGCAAACGTACTGTCGCATCACACAGAGCAGTGCCACTGCCTTCACCCTCTGTGCCCCGCCCATCCATCTATCTCCCTAGCTCCCGGCCGCCGCTGGTGTTTTCAGTGTTTGCAGGGTTTCATGCGTTCCGGAACGTCCTGTCGTTGACTCCTGCATCTGTAGCCTCTTCACGTTGGCATCCTGCACTGACTGGCACGCGTTTAGGTTTCTCCGTGTTTTTTCATAGCTTGATGGCTAATTTCTTTGAGCACTGGTTAGTTCTCCATGGCTGGATGGGCCGCAGTTCAGTTGTCTCTTCTGCAGGACGTAGCGGTTGCTTCTGGGTTTCGGCAGTTACGGACAGAGCTGCCGTAAACATCCATGTGCAGGTTTTTGTATGGGTCTGAGTTTTTTGTTTTGTTTTGTTTTAAGACACAGGGTCTTGCTCCATTGCCCAGGCTGGAGTGCAGTGGCACAGTCGTGACTCATGGTACCCTCAAACTCCTGGGCTCAAGCGATCCTCCCACCCAGCCTCCCAGATCTACAGGTAGTTGAAGTTTCACTGTGTTGCACGAGCTGGTCTTGAACTCCTGGGCTCAAGGGATTCTCCTGCCTTAGCTTTGCATAGTGTTGGGATTGCGGGCGTGAGCCACTGTGCCCAGCCTCCTTGGGGTCCCTTTCTGTCAGTTGGTTTTGATCTGTCTTCATGTAGGAGGCAGAAAGAGGCTGTGGGCTCCTGTCATGAGTAGGGTTGTGGTCCAGTGGCCTTGCTGTGGGCTGGTGGGGGCAAGAACACGGACTCTGTCCAGGCTCAGCAGCCCCAGGAGTGTCAGGGCTGTGGCCTGTGTCTGGCCAGCACTGAGGAGCCGGAGAGACTTGTCAGGCCTCCAGCAGCCTGGGGAAGGAGGCCGGCCAGGCCCCAGGGCAGCGTTTTCCTGAACATGACTGGAAACCCTTGGATCTGATGGCCGGGCCAGAGCCACTGCGGACCTCCCTCCTCTTCCTGTGTCCTCGCTCCCAGAGGGGCTTCCGGGCTCAGCAAACAAAAGCACGGGACACCCAGGTCTGTCTCAGATGAGCAGCAGGTGATCTGTAGGTACGTCCTATGTGGTCTTTGGGATACACTACAAATTGTTGTTGATGTGAAATTCCAATTTAACCAGGTACCCTGTATCTTCTCTGACAGCCCTGTCCCCAGCGCCCCTCATGATGGGGTGGGCTGCAGGCCACGGGTGCTGCTCAGCGTCTGGACAGCCCCTGCCACAGAGAATGATGAGGCTGAGAAAGCTCCCACGCCGGGGCTCTCCATGTGGCGAGTCTCCTGGTGGTCTTCAGGTGTGGCAGAGGTTGGGGTGGGTCGGGGGTCACATCCCAGCTCAGTTGGTCCTGAGAAGCGGCCTGGTAGACAGTCACCGGCACAGAGGGCTGGAAAGTGCCCTCAACCCCAGAACCTGGGTCCTGTGAGGACATCGACCCTGTGTGAGGCCAGGGAGTGCCCAGCAGATGTGGGTGGCAGGGGTGGCACCATGGGTGGGGGTCCCTGCGAAGGCAGGCAGCTGAGCTGGCCCTACCTTAGAGCACAGGGGTCCAAAGCTTGGTCTTCCCTGGGCCCCACTCTGGACCGGCGGACCCATGGGGCACCCTGGCCCCACCCTGCCTGCTGCTCCCCAGCTCCTGCCCTTGCCCTGTGGGGCTCTGCAGCCTCCCCTGTGCCCATGTGTCTCGGCTCACTAGACCCTGGACCTGCGGTCCCTCAGCCACACTCCAGTCCCCTTACTCTGTCCCACTACTCGGCCTGGTGCTGTTCAGCTCCTCCCTGCCCATCTGGCGCCCAGCACCCTGTGCCCTGACCTCACGTTTCTCCCTCCGTCCAGGTCCCCTGCTCACCTGTGTTTTAGTCTGTCTTCATCTGCTGACCGCACTGTGGATTTTAAAAATACAAACATGCATGCACGTGGTTAAGAACTCGCTGATGTCAGGCTCCTGGGTGGAAGGACTGCCTGCTGCCTTCTCTTTTGTAGCTCTCGGACACTGCAGGGGAAGCTTCTTGGTTTTTTCCCCACGTCTTATTTAGAAATAATTATAGATTTCACAGGAAGTTGCAAAAAAAAAAAAAAAAAAAACCACCTGTTGGAGGGGCTGGCACAGACCCCTCCCCAGTTCCCCTGATTGCACACACAGGGCACGTGTGGGGTCGCTGGATTTGCGTGTCGTGCTGTGTGCCTGTGTGCACCCACAGGTATAACGCTGCGATTTTATCACGTGTGAATACCTGTGGCCGTGATCAGGCCCACGTGGCTTCCCGCTCCTGTCTCTGCGTGGGCACCCCGACACCTGGAAACCTGTTCTCCAGCTGTAGAATTGGGCCATGTTAGCAGTGTCATAGATGTATGCACCGGCCTAAGCCTTTGGCGCCCTCACGGCCACCCACGTCCTCCATCTCCTGCTCCGCGTTCTTGCTGAGCAGTCCCCCGCGGTGTGGTGACACCCTGACTCTCCCTTTCTGGCCGTTTCCGTAGAGCTGGCCTCTGTGGGCTCGCTGCAGGTTTCCTGTGAGCTGCCGTCTTTGTTCCCCGGTGATCCAGGCCCAGGAGTGAGGGGCCAGGCCGCAGGGCCGTTGCTCGTTTGGTGTTGTGACACCCTGCACCCTGTCTTCCAGAGGGGCTCCCATTCTGCCTCCTCACCAGCAGCGTGCCAGTGACCTGGTTTCTCCTCGTGCTGGCCAGTGTTCGGCCGCCACTGCGTCTGCTTTTCCCTGGTGGCGTGGTGACCTTTTCGCAGCGCATGAGCGGCTGCCCGCTGTGCGGTCCTTACTGTTCCTCCCGGCATCTCAGCCCACGCGTGTAAATGACGTGTGTTCCCCTGCTTCTCCAGTGCCGCTGCTGACCTGGCGGGTGGGCCGGCTCCACTGGCTGAGGCAGTTGGCGCTGTTCACCCTCCCTGAGGCAGGGTCCTCAGTGAGATGTATGGCTGCTGCTTCCGGGTGACGAGCGTGAACATCCCCTGTGGCTGCTGGCACGTGGGTATGACCACAGGGTGGAGTGGGACTGCAGAGATGAGGGTGGCAGGCCCCTGCGTGGCACCTGAAGCTTGGGTGACTGGCAAGGACTGAGCCCTCTCCTGGCGGAAGGGGCTGGGCCACCTGCTCTTGGGCTCCTCTCTGGCAGGTTCTCTGGGGGTCTTACCACCTCCCTGTCTCAGCTCCCACTGGCCTGCGGAGCCCTGTGCAGTCCACAGCTGTGACAGCCCCGGCTACGGAGGCGGCTCAGCCCAGGTGTCTCCACTTGGTGCCCCCACCTGAAGTGCCCCACGCTGCCTGGGCCTCTCTGTGTCCTTCTGTAAGTGGCCCTGCCATCCATCTGATCGGGTCATTCGTGTGGTGCTGCCTGCCGGAATCCTCTGAGGAGGGCTGCCTGGGGGCCCATTTGGGATCTGAGACTTGGCTTGGGGAGGCAGGTGGTGGGCACGGGCAGAGTGGGCCTCAGGCATGCTGCACCTCCCCGACCTGCCTCTTGGGTTCCCGGGTCCTTCCTCCTGCCCACCTTAGGACCCTCCAGCTCCCCGATGGCTTCCTGGGTTTGGAACAGACAGGTCTGGTTCTCAGTGGCTGTGCACACTGTTCCCCTGCGGGCCCTGCCGGGCCCTGCTCCCCCATCCAGCTGTTGTTTCTGCCCTAGGCTCTCTGGACGGTGCCCTTGGGCAGGCCATTGTAGTCCCTGGGGAGGCGGGGTCTGTCTGAGCAGGCCCGGAGAGCTCGCTCCTGGATGCTTAGACCTGCGCTCTGGCGGCGCAGCTCCGCGCGGCTGCAGGCAGGGCTCTCCGGGCGCCGGTCCGGGTGTACCCTGCGGGCCCTGATGCGCATCGTCAGCACGCAGCTCCGCGTGGCCGTGGGCGCCGCGCTCTGTGCTGGTCTCCACCGTGCGCGTCTAGCTGTGGGCCTGGCTCCTGCGTGGGACCGGGCGCTTGCCCTGAAGGTGCAGCCCCTCGTGGCTGAGGGCAGGGCTGTTTGCGTAGGTCGCCGTGGTGCTGTGGTCTGCCTGGGTAAGGCGGGCTCCGTCGGGCGGCCCTTTCTGGCCCAGGCGCTTGGTGAGCCGGCAGCATGCGCCCTGCCTCTCTCCCTGCAGGCTCCGGGAGCGCTCGGAGGAGATGTCTGGCTTCCTCCTGGAGTGCGACAGCTCCGTGCAGGACGCGCTGCAGAAGCACCTGGCGCTGTACAGGATCCGTCGGAAGGTCACGGTGGAGCCACACCGGGATCTGCGAGTGTGGGCGGTGCTACCCGGTTCCCCTGAGGCCTGTGGGGCCGCACCGCTGCAGGAGACGGCGGGGGCCGACGCCATCCTCGTCCGCGACCCGCGAACGCGACGCATGGGATGGCGGCTCCTCACCCAGAAGGAAGGCCCAGCCCTGGTTCCCGGGGGCCGGCTCGGGGACCTGTGGGATTATCACCAGCACCGGTACCTGCAAGGTATGGGCTGGGTGGGCACGCTGGGCCGGATTGCACGGGTGGGTCTGGACACACTCAATTCTCGCTGGTTTCCCCTCCGATCTCTGCAGGCGTTCCTGAGGGGGTCCGAGATTTGCCTCCAGGGGTGGCCCTGCCTCTGGAGTCCAACCTGGCCTTCATGAACGGCGTGAGTTTCACCAAGGGCTGCTACATCGGCCAGGAGCTGACCGCCCGCACCCACCACATGGGCGTCATCCGCAAGCGCCTCTTCCCTGTCCGGCTCTTGGACCCCCTTCCCACCAGTGGTGTCGCCCCTGGCGCCGCGGTGCTAACTGAGTCAGGACAGGCTGTGGGCAAGTACAGGGCCGGCCAGGGCAGTGTGGGGCTGGCCCTGCTGCGCTCAGAGAAGATAAAGGGTCCTCTGCACGTCAGAGCCTCCAGGGGCGCTCAAGTGGCCTTAACCGCATCTGTGCCAGACTGGTGGCCCACGGTCTCCACGTAGCCCGAAGCCTTGGCTGGCACCGGCTGGTGGAGAGGCTGGGGGCTGGGGGCTGGGGCCTGGGGCCTGGGGCCTCGGGCCTCTGTCTGTGGTCTTCCTGTCCCATCTGTCTGCTGTGCCTGCTGGGTGGGATCCTGCTTCCCACCTGGGAAAGTCCCCCTTGGCATCGCCATGCCCGGCCCCGCCCATGCTCAGGGGCCCCAGCTGTTGGGTTGTTTTCTCCCTGAGCATCCCGTAGCCCCAGAGGGGAGAAGTGGCCGGAGGAGCCCACCATGTAGGTGCTAAGCCCCAGGGGGTGCTGGGCCCCAGTGGCGGCTCCACGCAGAGTTGTCTGAGAGGATGGGCGGCCTCCGGGCCTTGCACCCTACTCTGCCCAGCATGAGCCTCGGGGGTTGGTTTCTGTGCCTGGAAGCTGGGTGCTGTCCAGGGTCTGCGCACTGGGGCTGGGGCTTTGGAGTTGCCTAACTGCTTGCTTGCAGGGTGCCTCAGGGTGGGTTGTGTGTGGTCCAGAGGGATCTGGGGCATTGGATCCGGTGGCATGTAGGCATCTGCACATGGAGCAGCACGTGCTGCACACCTGAGCCAGGTGCACCTCTGTACTGGGGCACCAGGGCTGAGCCTTCAGGTATCCCATGCGGAAGGCTGTGCCCGCCGCCCCTGTTTCTCCACCTCCACCCCCTCAGAGCCCTCCAGGAGCGTGGGGCCGGCGCAGGGCTCAGGAGCCAGCAGGGCAGAGTTAGCATGACCGGTGTGTGCTGGGTTTCTGCGTAGCCTGTGTTTGCAGTGAAGAGCGACTTGCTGTCAGCCTCCGCTTCACCCACTGGGTTCCCTTTTCCCATTGAAGTGTGAGCTCCATGTTTCAGGGCATCCATTAAAGAGTGAACCACAGGCAGCCTGTTGGGAGCTCTAGTTTCATTTGGAGGAGAGGGAGGCCAGGGCTTAGTTTCTGGGATCTGGCTGACTGGACCCTGGGAATAGCTGTCCCTTGAGAACGCCCAGACACACCAGATGAAGCACGTGGCGCGGCTGCAGGCCAGCAGGGGAGGCCTCAGAGGCCCAGGCTGGGTGCATGGTGCCACGTCTGCAGAGAGCAGCCGTGTGGCTGCAGGGCGCGGGGCCTGGGGCAGGCATTTGGGTCTTCACGCTTGACCTTGGGTGGCCATGAGGGACAAGCAGGCAGGGAGCCTGTGTGGCCATCCTGGTGCCAGGGGGACCACAGGCGCTCTCTAAAAACGTGCAGCTACAGCGCTTTTGGGGCCAGGCCAGGGGTCTGAAGGCAGCTCTGAGCTGCAGTGTAGCTTGCGGTCACCCAGGAGGAGGGCGTGGAGTGGACGCACGGGAGGAGGTGGCTGCAGCTGGAGGGAGAGGAGGGCCATCCAGCCCTAACCGCTGCCATCGGCTCTCCCATGGGCAAGGAAACAGCTAGGCGGCCCTGACCCCTGGGGTCCAGAGAGCCAGTGGCCTTCGCCTCTCTTGGGCAGGTCACACTCAGCACAGGATGGATTCCCGACCAGCATCCCTGCCCCATTCCAGCCCGAACGGCTGCTGCTTTACATTGGCATGGAGACGGTTAAGCAGCTTCCCAGCCAGTTCTCTCTCCAGCTCAGCCAGGGGTGGGTGTCTGTGGCCTGTGTCACCAAGAGCCGGTGTCTCCTGCATGAGGGAGTGTGGACCCCTGGAATGAGGGTCTGTGCCTCGAACTCAAAGCGCCCTGGCTCCCTCACCTGCCTGAGGTTGCCTGGCATTCCCAGCAGGGCCTCCTTGAGTGCAGCGACTTCTGGGAGCATTGTAGCCTTGGACTTGTCAAATGGTCCCACAGGTGTGGCCGGGTGAGGGCTGGGAGGTGAGCCAGGAAGGAAGGGCTCCCCTCCAGAGCGAGACGCCACTTGAGTGGTCCTGTGCCCCTCAGTGTCTTCAGGCCTCTGCAGGTGTCAGGATATCAAAATACTTGGTTCAGTTCAAACACACACATTCCATGTTCTGTGTCTTTTTTTTTTTTTTTTTTTTGAGATGGAGTCTTATTCTGTCACCCAGGCTGGAGTGCAGTGGCGTGATCTCGGTTCACTGCAGCCTCCACCTCCTGGCTTCCAGTGATTCTCCCGCCTCAGCCTCCCGGGTAGATGGGACTACAGGCGCCCGCCACCACGCCAGGCTAATTTTTGTATTTTTGGTAGAGACGGGGTTTCACCAAGTTGGGCAGGCTGGTCTCAAACTCCTGACCTTGTCATCCGCCCGCCTCGGCCTCCCAGAGTGCTGGGATTACAGACGTGAGCCACCGCGCCCCATCTCTTCTGTGTCTTTAAAAAGGAAAGTGTCAGGCACCAAAAGGTCTCCTCTGTCGTACAAACCAAATCGGCTTTCACCAGAATGTCCTTAGTCCTCTCAGAAAGGCCTGGCCTTGAGGACTTGGAAGCGGGCGCTGAAATGCATCGGCAGGGTGGGGCTTTGTGTTCAGGGGCACTGGGACCTGCTGCGAGCTGGTGCGGCTGCTTCGAAACTGTGCGCGGCTCTTCCGTCCGCTTTAGTTTTCTAAAAACATAGGAAGTTCCTGTGTGTGTGTGAGTCTGTATGTGATTGCGTGTGTGAGTGTGTGTATGTGATTGCCTGTGTGTATGATTGCCTGTGTGTGTATGTGATTGCATGCATGTATGTGATTGCCTGTGTGTGTGATTGCCTGTGTGTGTGATTGCATGTGTGTGAGAATGTGCGTGTGTGATTGCCTGTGTGTGTTTGTGTGTGTATGTGATTGCCTCTGTGTGTGTGTGATTGCATATATGTGATCGCCTGTGTGAGTGTGTGTGTGATTGCCTGTGTGATTGCCTGTGTGTGATTGCATGTGTATGTGTGATTGCATGTGTGTGTGTGATTGCCTGTGTGATTGCATGTAAGTGTGTGTGATTGCCTGTGTGATTGCCTGTGTGTGATTGCATGTGTGTGTGATTGCCTGTGTGATTGTGTGTGTGATTGCATTTATGTGATTGTGTGTGTGATTGCCTGTGTGTGTGACTGCATGTGTGTGAGTGTGTGATTGCCTGTGTGATTGTGTGTGTGTGATTGCCTGTGTGTGTGACTGCATGTGTGTGAGTGTGTGATTGCATGTGTGTATGTGATTGTGTGATTGCATGTGTGTGTGACTGCATGTGTGTGAGTGTGTGATTGCATGTGTGTATGTCAGTGTGTGTGTGATTGCATGTGTGTAGGTGTGTGTGTGATTGCCTCTGTGTGTGATTATGTGTGTATATGTGATTGCCTGTGTGATTGTGATTGCATGTGGGTGTGTGTGTGATTGCCTGTGTGTGTGTGATTGCCTGTGTGTGCATGTGTGTATGTGAATGTGTGATTGCATGTGTATGTGTGATTACCTGTGTGTGTGTGATTGCATGTGTGTGTGATTGCATGTGTATGTGTGATTGTGTGATTGCATGTGTGTGTGATTGCATGTGTGTGATTGCATGTGTCTGTGTGTATGTGTGATTGTGTGTGATTACATGTGTGAGTGTGTGATTTCCTGTGTGTGGTTGCACGTGTGTATGTGCCTGTGTATGTGTGATTGCATATATGTGATTGCCTGTGTGTGTGTGATTGTGTGTGTGATTGCCTGTGTGTGTGATTGCATGTGAGTGTGTCTGTGTGATTACGTGTGTGTGATTGTGTGTGATTACATGTGTGAGTGTGTGATTTCCTGTGTGTGGTTGCACGTGTGTATGTGCCTGTGTATGTGTGATTGCATATATGTGATTGCCTGTGTGTGTGTGATTGTGTGCGTGATTGCCTGTGTGTGTGATTGCATGTGAGTGTGTGTGTGTGATTACGTGTGTGTGTGATTGCATGTGTATGCGTGATTGCCTGTGTGTGTGTGATTGCATGTGTATGCGTGATTGCCTGTGTGTGTGTGATTGCATGTGTGTGTGATTGCCTGTGTGTGTGATTGCATGTGTGTGTGATTGCATGTGTGTGTGTGTGTGTGTGAATTGGTGGTGTGAGGTGCAGTTGTGTCACATGGGTGTGGTGTATGGTGGTGTGGTCTGGGCTTCTTACCCTCACCCCCCCCCGCCTCCACTCTTCAGAGTCCCCTGCGTCTGCCCTCCCCTCTCCGAGCCCACATTGCCTGTTGTGCAGCTGCTGCTTTTGAGGCAGGGTGTGCAGTATGTGACGCTGTTTCTGAGCTGATTAACACAGCGTATGGTGCTTACATTTTCCTTTCAAAGCCAGATGTGGGCAGGTGTGGTGGCTCACACCTGTGATCCCAGCACTTTGGGAGGCTGAGGCCAGAGGATTGCTTGAGCCCAGGAGTTTGAGAGCAGCCTGGGCAACATATCAAGACTCTATCTCTTAAAAAAAAAAACTTGGCCGGGCGCAGTGGCTCAAGCCTGTAATCCCAGCACTTTGGGAGGCCGAGGAGGGTGGATCACGAGGTCAAGAGATCGAGACCATCCTGGTCAACATGGTGAAACCCCATCTCTACTAAAAATACAAAAAATTAGCTGGGCATGGTGGCACGTGCCTGTAATCCCAGCTACTTAGGAGGCTGAGGCAGGAGAATTGCATGAACCCAGGAGGCGGGGGTTGCGGTGAGCTGAGATCACGCCATTGCACTCCAGCCTGGGTAACAAGAGCGAAACTCCATCTCAAAATAAAAAAAAAAAACTTAGCCAGGCATGGTGGTGCACACCTGTGGTCCGAGCTACTTGGGAGGCTGAAGTGCGAGGATCACTTGAGACCAGGAGGTGGAGGCTGCAGTGAACCATGATTGTGCCACTGTACTCTAGCCTAGGCAATCGAGCAAGACCCTGTCTCAAAAAAGAATAAAAAAAAAAAAAAAAAAAAGCGGTGGTTGGTAGTACTTTCCTGGAGCACAGCAGACACAGTGTGGAAACTGAGAAACTCACCCCCAAATCGGGAGCTGTTTGAAGAAATGACCCCAAAGTTCAGCACAGAAAGACATCAGATAGAAGACATCCCAAGAAGTGTACGTTCACTGTAAAATCATCATCCTCATCTTCCAGTCCCAAGGAGACAAGCTCCCTGTTCTGTGTTCTTGTATGAGACGATCAGTCAAGTGCAGGCCGAGAGGACAGGTAGGAGCCCTGGAGAGCCCCAGCCAGACCTTCCCTGGGGCTTCCCCAGGAAAAGTAAGGCAGGGTGGGTGTGCAGCGGGTCAGCTGGCTGTGATTTCCGTGGGCTCCAAGCTGTAGGAGTGGTTGCTGGCTGCCTGAGTGCTTTGGCCAGATAGAGGTGGGCTCTGGACTGGTGAGGTTGCATTGCAGAGGCGTGCACCCAACTGGGCCCTTATCTCTAAGGACTGGCTGGCCTGGAGGGGCCGTCTCCCAACCAGAAGAGTTTTTTTTTTTTTTTTTTTTTTTTTTTTTTTTTTTAATGAGACTACCATAAAACAGTACAGAGGTTTTTAAAAAAATATGTCAAAACATCCTAAGGTACAGGAAATAAATTGTAAACACATACACACACACACACACAAGCAAAATACCATAAACAAGGCCCAGCAAAAAGACAGAAACAAACACATCAATCTTCTGGTCCTAGGGTAAGCAGACACATCACATGGAATGAGAATGTTTAATGTATTTAAAGAAAACAAGGAATTTATGTGCAGGAAGCAAGAGACTATAAAAATGACCAAGCAGATTTTAAAAAGAGAACTTGTTGTAATAAAAATGGAATTTTCTAAAAAAATAATCCATGATGTCTTTCCTGAAGAATCGGGAGCTATTTGAAGAAAATGACCCCAAAGTGCAACACAGAAAGAGCTAGAAAAGATGAGATGGGCTAGGGGACAAGAAGACAGTTTAGTATAGCATCCGCAGTTTACAGTAATTCCAGAAGGAGGGGAAAGAGAATATGGCAAGTATTCAGAGAAATACGGCTGAGAACTTTTCCGGACCTACGGGAGCCCCTGCTCCTTAGATTCAGGAATCCAGCGGCTCCCAAGCAGCATAGTGAGAAAACTGTACTCAAAACAATCACGTCTTGGTGAATATGCAGAACCCGGTGACAGAGATCTTGAAGGTAGGCAGGAAAGAAAAAGATCATCTGGAAAGAAGAAAATCAGTGGTTTATTAAAAGCAGCAGTGGAAGCCAGAAAGTAAATAATATCTTCAAAGTCCTGGGAGAAATAGTGATAGCCTAGAATTGTGTACCCAGAAAATCTATCAAGAATGAAGGGCCGGGCACAGGGGCTCACGCCTATATTCCCAGCACGTTGGGAGGCTGAGGCAAGTAGATCACCTGAGGTCAGGCATTCAAGACCAGCCTGACCAACATGGCAAAACCCCATGTCTACTAAAAATACAAAGAGAGCTGGGCATGGTGCCACATGCCTGTAATCCCAGTTATTCGGGAAGCTGATGCAGGAGAATCACTTGAACCCGGGAAGCAGAGGTTGCAGTGAGCCAAGACTGCACCATTGCACTCCAACCTGGGCAAGAGTGAGACTCAATCTCAAAAAAAAAAAAAAAAAAAAAAAAAAAAAAAAAAGGCCAGGCACAATGGCTGATGCCTGTAATCCCAGCACTTTGGGAAGCTGAGGCTGGCACATTGCCTGAGCTCATGAGTTCAAGACCAGCCTGGGCAACACGGTAACATGGTGAAACCCCGTCTCTACTAAAATACAAAAGATTAGCTGGGCATGGCAGCGTGCACCTGCAGTCACAGCTACTCAGGAGGCTGAGACAGAATTGCAAGAACCTGGGAGGCGGAGGTTGCAGTGAGCCGAGATCGCACCACTGCACTCCAGCCTGGGCTACAGAGCAAGACTCCATCTCAGAAAAAAGAGGGCTGAAGGTGTTTTCAGACCAGGAAGCCCCCAGAGTTTGCTGCCTGCGGAGCCTGGAGCGTCTAAGACATGTCTGGGCAGGAGGCAAGTGAACCCGTGGGTAAGCTGGAGGTGAAAGGAATGGATAGGCAGGAAGGTGGATTCGTGGGCGTGTCTAAAACACCTCATCTAGAAGCTCCTACTTAGAATTCGTAATTTTGGAGTTTATAAAATGATACCA